ATTTTTACCTCTAGGCATGTGCGTAGGGGTAGAGTGATGTGGACATTTACTATATTCTTCTGTCAATTTTTCTGGATGTTTCAAAGTTTTCACAATATGTTTCAAAACGTACTGGGGAGAAGGAAAAAAGTATCACAGAAAATAAAAGAACAGATGTAATCTTACAGAAAATAGAAGACAGATGGGCCTCCCTGGTGGCGCAAAGGGTTAAGCACCACACTATGAAGCAATCCACAGCCTCTGCAGCATGAGTTCAATCCCCAGCCAGCTAGAGACAAACCCACATGGCAAGGCAGACCTCTCCTGTCTCGCCCACTGCTCCCCTCAGCAGTGTTACTTCGGTCCGTCTGCTTGTTCTGTTCCCCATTCTGTCTCTGGTGGATCCCCTCATGCCCTGCATCTTTGGCCTGTACCCCAGCTCTTGTATGCATAAATAAATAAATATTTTAAAAAATAGAAGACAGATATTTGATAGACTATATTTAGCTTTATGGGAAATTCACTTCTTTTACCTGACTGGTCTCACCTTGCTATGGAGGCATAAAGCCCTTGGTATCCATCCCTTGGAGGCACTTCACTGGGGACTGCTATCCTGGTGGGGCAGCACACAGGGCAGCTGGGCAAGAGGATGAATTGGGGCCAGAGTTATCTGGATTCTAGTCCCAGCTCCCCTGGCTCTTTCTCACAGTCACTTTTGATAGGTTACTTAAATCTGTTGGCCCTGCATTTCCTTATCTGTAAAAATCGGGCTGATAATAAGGGAATAAGGAAAGTTAGTCATGGTCATACATAGCTATAAGTGACATTAACTGAGTTGGATTCCGAAGATATGTTATGAGACACCCTAACACTGTAGAACACTTATACCTTGTTTTTTGTGTCCACCGACACAAATCAGTCTTATCCAAATAGACTGATTTCTCGATACTGGGGTGTTGTCTTTTTCTTCCTTTCTTTTTTACTCAGGGACAAGCATACGCCCATCTCCTTGTGGGTTTGAACCCACCTTGTGGGTTTGAATGAATAAGTGAAATACAAACACACCTTCCTACACAATTCCACATAGAATGCTGTTCATTGTTCTTCCTTGTGGGTTACCTGCCATGAGAAGTTCACCAGGAGCCAGGAAAAGGTCCAGGTATCATCAGCATACTGGGTTTGGCACAAAAACATGAGGCTTAATTTCCCAAGGAATGAAGACTTAGTTAAGGCAGGTTTGCAGAATAGACAGAGATAATGATAAAGAACTAAAGAAGTGTGACCACAAATATTAACTAAAGCTGACTGATCTTATGTGCATAAATTATCAGTAGCTGCAGAAGTGATCTCTCTCTCTCTGTCTACACACACACACACACACACACACACACACACACACACACACTGCAAGTATGTGGCTTTAGCCCTTAAAAATCATGGGCAGATATTGCCATCTGGTGTGCATCTGGGTAACCACACTTCAAAAAAATTTTTTAATCACTTACATTTTAAAACAACTGTATGTATTTTATTGAGTACAATAGTGTTTACATAAACTTTACAAATAGTAGAAAATATGCATGAGACCAGTTTATCAAGCTACACACATTTGATGCACACTTGCATTCTTGAGTTCTTATTTTAAATCTCCACATTTTCAGATTTACTTTTTTGTTGAACTTAATATTCTAAGAAAAATACCCTGACAAGGGGGCCTCCCCTGACTCACAGTGGTTGAGCGCTGGGCTGCAAAGCTGCCCACAGCCTCTGCAGCATTGATTGGATCCCCGGCTGCCAGTGAGGGTCCCACATGGTGCAACAGACCTTTCCTGCCGTGCCCGCTGCTCCCCTCAGCAGTCTGCCTTTTCTGTTCCCCGCTCTTGCCTCTGGTGAATTCTCTCACCCTCCTGTGCTTCTGACTGTACCCAGTGCTTGTATAAATAAATAAATAAATCTTTAAAAAAAATACCCTAACAGGGTAGGAAAATATTATGCCCAGTTCTCCCTCGAATTTTATTGTCAGTCATTAAAATTTGAGGGGGAAGATGGGGTGCAATATATTCCTACTTTGTGGGGTTGATATTATGAGGGCTAAATAAGTGGCGATGGTCGGGAAAGTGTGTGTACTTTGCCTCACCCAAATTAAATTAAGAGTGAATTTTTGTCAACTTCCACATTAATAATGTAATTCATTTGATTTTATAAAAACAAACCACTCTTTTCTTAGGGGTACATGTTGAGAACCTTGGCTCATTCCAAAGCTCAGGGCTTCTCAGATCCGTACTTATCTTACAGGCTAGAAGGGCTTGCCTTCTGATAGATCTTTGTGAGATCAAAGTCAAGGCCAGGTGCAAACTAAAGTCCAAGGGGAGCAGAAGCGATAAAGCAACAAAATGTAATACATAAGCATGGCTGGGGTATGGAGTGTGGGAGAGGGGGAAGGTGAAGGGAGCAAGAGGCCATGAAACCCTTGGCCTCCCAGCCCTGGCAACATCCCAATTTAGCTCCTGTGCACCCTGATCATAAAATTTTGAATGAGTCCCTGTTGCTTGCAATGGAGTAAGCATGACTTAAACAAGATCAGTTTTAGTGAATCCAAAAGATTATAAATTCTAATATCTGGCATGCCTATTCTCCCAAGCCCCCCAAATGCCTGAATGTCTTACTTCTTTATCCTGATAGAGACCACTTGTAAGTACAGGAAGAGAGGAAGAAAATGAAGTCATCATCACCTTGTGGCTTCACCCTAAGTCTCTCACCTGAGGATGGACTTGAGTTAAAAGCTGGTGCTCTCAGACAATGCTGGAGAGTCAGCAAGGACCTCTAATACCTGGTGACTCTGGTTAGAAATGGCCTCTGCATTGCCTTTGATTCCTCCCAGTACTTGATTCATGAGTCTGTCATTGCCTGACTTATTGTCAGCGTAAACCAGTGGTTCTGACTGGGAAGCACAATTGGTAAAATCAGGAAACATTTTTAGTTGTTACTGCTGGGGAAGGGAGTGCTACTGCCACCTCATGGGTCGAGGCCAGAGATGCTGCTAAACATCCTACTGTGCACAAGGCAGTGCTGTGTCCATGGCACTACAGGCCTAGGGGATTGTTAAAGGGCATAAACAGGCAAAGATTGACTGATCCCTAAGTTGGGAATTCTACCAGGAGACCACTACACTGTGTGGGGAAGACCCCCATACTACATCACCACCTGTGGCCTAAGGCTAAGTCACAGACAAAAGGTGCAGGTAGAGGCTCTGGAAAGAACAATCCATGATAAGTCTAAGCAGTCAGTCCCCGAGAGGCTGATGGAGGTACAGATAATTATTGCAAAATTGAGTCTGATCAATTTGACTCCATTCATTCCCCTCCACACCATTCTGGAACTATGTGATCTAATTTCCTATTTGTATCAAAGGAATAAATTGGCGTGGATGACAGGGGCCAGGGGTTAAGTTGGGGTGAGAGAAGAGCAGCAAATTTACAGTAGCTTATTTAAGTGTCCACAGATTTGGAAAGAGGTATCTTCCAGTAGGTCTGAGATTGGGTAGCGGGCCTATGAACACCAAAATGTGGTTTCATTAAGTTAGCATTTTGTTGGGCAACTTTAAAGGGAAGGAGTCTCCCCTAAAGAGTATGCAGAGGGCCTTCCTGGCAGCGTGTAGGGTTAAGCACAGCACTATGAAGCTGTCTGCAGCCACTGCAGCATGAATTAGATCCCTAGCTGACCAGGGAGCTACCCACATGGTAGCTCTCCTGACTCACCCTCTGCTCCCCTCAGCAGCGTGCTTCAGTCAATCTGCCTGTTCAGCTCCCCACTCTGTCTCTGGTGAATCCTCTCACCCCCACACTTCTGGCCTGTACCCCAGTTCTCGTATGCATAAATAAATGAATCTTTTAAAAAAGACACAACTAAGCTTTAAAAAAAATACAGTGTAAGCAGAGCAGGATTCTCTAATCAATTTCAGAGCATGATGTAGACAAAAAGCATCCCTGTCCCCTCTCCTGTAACAGGTAATTTTTTTTTGATGGAGGCTTACATTTTCCTGGCCAGAGAAATGATGGTGAGTACACTGCCCTGTAATGAGGAGCTGGGGAGCAAGTTCCAAGAGGTAGTACTTTGGAAAACTCCTAGGTAAGGCCACATTTACATTAGGTTGATGGATAAAGGGTTAAGCCTAAGGAATCACATTCATTCATTCATTCATTCATTCATTCCTTTATTCCCTTTAGTAGGTCTGGGAATTTTGCTAAATGGTAGAGATAGAAGCATAAGAGGTGGTGCTGTCAGTTTAGTTAGGAGTTAGGACAAATAGAAAGCCTGCCATACAGCAATGAGATCTCAAGTGTCAGTTATCCTTCTGCTCTGCTTTCTTTTAATTATGCACACTTCACAGATTGAAAGAAATAGTCTGTGAATTCCCAGCCCGGAACTATTGGCTATATAATGGTCAACATTTTAGTACTTTTTATACTTTCCAGCTGTAGCTGGAAAGAAACTTCTCCAAGACAGGGTCATCAGAAGCTGTGGGACTTTGCATTTTTACATTTTCCACATTTAATAAATTTACATCTACGTGCCCGAGAGTTTGTGAATGAAAATGCGTGGATGGAAAGGTGTTTTTTGAGCAGGAACGTCCGCTCTTCATAATTCCCTGAAAGGAGAGGGCAGACTTCATCACACCATCATCAAAACCCTTCCTCTCTGCGCCTCTATGCTGACAGCGGCTGAACTACATTTCCCAAGATGCCCAGCGGCTGGAGCGGAAGTGGTGACAGTTCGTCCAGCCGCGGGCGGAGTCCTGGACCCTGACAGGATGCTCAGCTCCACCTCCGGCATCACAGTCAGTTCTCCGGCTTTTACTTCCAGCCCAGCGGTAGCGCGACCTCCTGGGCCTTTTCCCCACGGTTCTCCTCAGGCCCCGCCCCTTAGGACGCTGGTATCATCAAAAACCCGGAAACTGGATTTCAGCTGGGGAGCCGCTCCGGGCGGCACAGTGCGCAGGCGCGAGCGGCTGGGTTCCCGACGCGCGCGGCGCTCGCTTGAAGCGGGAGCGCGTTCCTGCCTGAGGAGACCCAAAAGCGAGTGGCCGAGGCCGCCCCTGCCGCCATGGCCGCCTTGCGCTATGCGGGCCTGGACGACACGGACAGCGAGGACGAGCTGCCCCCGGGCTGGGAGCAGAGAACCACCAAGGACGGCTGGGTTTACTATGCCAAGTAAGCGGGCGGCCGGGGGGCCGCCGGGCCTGGGGCGCACCTGGAGCGGGACGCACCTGGAACCTGACGGCCTCTCGTGCCCGGGACGTCTCGCCGCCCTCGGACGCCACCTGCACGGGGCGCGGCGCCAGCTGGCCGGGGCCTGCGAGCCCAGTGATGGCCCCAGCGCTTCAGTGCCAGGCCTCGGGGTCCTGAGGAGGCACCGGCCCCCTCTAGGCCCTGGGTCCCGGGGGGCGCCTGTCAGCGCGCAGGGGCGCCCTCTGCCGCTCAGCAGGCAGCACTGCACGGTGCCTTGTGGTGGCAAATCCCTCAAAACTAAAAATCCAAAAATGCCAACGCCCAGCTTCCTCCTGGGGACCCAGGGGAGGGCACCTCGGAGTATGTATGAGTGACATGTTCGTGTGTAGCTGCATATGCGTGTACATCCGTGCACGCACAGACAGAGTAACAACTGTAGCTGCACCACAGTTTCCCCGGGGAGTTTCGGAAACACTAGCAGACCCTTTGCACCATCACTTGCAGTGTGACCTCGGGCCACTGAAAGAACGCTCGGGCACAGCCTTCTCTGTCCAGTGCATTGGCACAGAGTTGTCCTGCAGGCACTGTACATGAAGCACTTAGCACAGGTCTACTAGGTACTCTGCTCCGTAACTGGTAGTGTCTCCTACTGTCTCTGCAGCAACTCCTAGGCTGTTAGAACTATACACCTGGCACTGGCACCAATGCAGGTTTCAGGTCTCCACAGAAACCCCCCTGGCACTGGCACCAATGCAGGTTTCAGGTCTCCACAGAAACCCCCCTGGCACTGGCACAAATGCAGGTTTCAGGTCTCCGTTTTGGGCAGCAGACCCCCAAAGTGGGGTAGGTGGATTTTTCAGGTTTTCCAAGGGAGGCAGCTTATCACATGGCTTGGAGAAACATGGATGGAAAACCAGTGTCTGGAAAACTTTAAAACAAAAATCTTTCCCTGGTGCCACCTGCGGAGATTCTCATTTAATTGGCTTGAGCATTCTGTCCCTACTGGTATATTATAAGCTCCATGGTGATGCTGGTCTGCCCAGCATGCAACGCAGCTGCCTTTGAGACTTGGTAGAAGGGAAAACAAAACAAAAGACGGGTAGTTCATTCAAAACACACACGGATTTTGGCATGGGTCAAGCCCTTTGCTGGGTGCTGGCAATACTGAGGCAAACGAGACCTGGCTGTTAGTTTTTAAGAAGCCCCAGTGGTAATGGTGAGGTTCTCCCGGTGCAGTGTGCCTAGCACACTGTGCGTGGGTAGATGGGGGGCATGTCAGGCCAGGCAACCAGGGAGAGTTGTCTCCTGAGCTGTGTCATAAGCACAGGTAGACGTGGGTAGGCCTGGAGCAGGAGGGCAGCCCAGGTAGAGAACTGAGTGTGGAGACCCATGCGTGGCCTGTGGTGCAGGAGCATAACGTAGAGGCCGAGATGTTGGAACCCAGTTTAGGGAGGCCCTTCTGAACCTCACGGAGGAGCTAGGTCTCTGTTGGCAGGACCCAGGGGTCCACAGAAGGCTTGGAGCCAGGAGGTGCTATCAGCTGTGTGTCTTTAGAATGCTGGTTTCTGCTCTGGAAACTCCAGAGAACTCTTCTAGCAGCAGGGAGCCATTAGTCTATTGCAGGGCTCCAGGCAGCCCCTGGATTTGTTGTTCCCTCTGCTGCATGGACATGTCGTGTGAAGGGCTCTTTCCCTCCGCGTTGAGCTGAAATATCACTGTCTGAGCTCTTCCTCCCGCATGCCTTTCCTGCACTTCCACCTTGTTACGTGCTTCATAGGGCTTAGTTAGCCTTGTCTATGCTCTTCTGTGTTTGCTCTGTCTCCCTTCCCAGCTGCAAATCTCTTGAAGGCAGGGGCTTTTTCTCATTCATCTCTGAATCCCTAGTGCTTGCCAGCCAGGAGCTCTTGTGGAATGAGTAAACAAACTCATCTAGGAAGGCTTACGTATTGGGACCCTGGGATGCAAAGATGCACAGGACCCACTTCCCTCCTCTCCTCCTGCTCTGGCTTGTGCCCATTCTCTAGTCCAGAGTCACAGCGGCTCACAGGGATACATATCATGTGACCCTAAGACCCACCTGGCTGGGCTCCCTAGCAGAGGACACCATTACCTCTCAGGGCAGGCCTGTTACCAGAGAGCTGGCTGCCCTTGCTCCCCTCCTCAGCATGGTCCACAGCAGCCCCTCTGCAGGAACCAGATGGGGACAGGGTGGGGGGGCAGGGATGGAAGGATAAGGCCTTCTAGCAGGGGGCTGTTGTGGCCACCAGCTGGGCCTTCCTGGGCCCTCCACCATACTCTGTTCAAGTTTGCCCTGGAGCCCGGGTCATTCTGGAGGCTCCCTTGCAGGTGCTCACCCCACTGTTCCCCCTATGCCTTTGTTGGGTGACCTTTCCTATCTGCTTCCTTCCCGGATGGTGACCAGTGTCAGGGCTTGGGTTGCTCCTTCCCCTTACTATGTTCTGAACACTCCTGCCACTTCCTGTGACCGAGTCTGGGGAGCTTGTGGCCAGGGAACTCAGTGGCACTTCATGGTCTTCAAAAAGCCACTTTTTCCCCAGCTCCATCTGCACTTTTTGGATTCAAACTGACCCTGCTGGCTCACTCTTTATACCAACTACCGTGGCTAGGTTTGGCTGGCTCCCACCTGGGGGACCTCTCCAGGCCTTCTGTGCAGGCCCACTGCCCTCTGCTCTTTGGCTCTTGGGACTGAAGAGTGCGTCTGACCCATCCTGACCCTGGAACGTGATTTCACTTGACCTACAAGCCTCCTTTTACTTCTTTTCCTACCCAACTCTACCCAACTTTTCCTACCCACTGAGCCTTCCCTTTGGGTTTGCTATGGGGAGATGGCGTTTCCATTTTCCTTTCCCCAAATGGTCTTCTGCCCACTGCAGCAGGACCAGGGGCAGACTTCATAGCTCCCAGGCAGACAGCCTTGTGTGTCCATTGTATGGGTTCTGTCAACTCTTGGGCTTTCCCACCTGCCTGGTGGCGTCCTTGCAGACCTCACAGGTGCACGCACATCATGTGATTCTAAGGCCCACCCTGCTGGGCTCCCTGGAAGAGGCAACCACTACCTCTCAGCACAGGCCCATGGCCAAAGAGTTGACTGACCTCTCTCCCCTCCTGGCATGGTCCAGGGCAGCCCCTCTGCAGGATCCAGGAGATGGGGGTAGAGGGGATGGGAGGATAGGCTTCTGAGCAGGGGGCTGTAGTAGCCACCAGCTGGGTCTTCCTGGGTCCTCCATCCCAATCCCCTTTTCTCCTGAAACCTAGGCCTCTTGGCAGCCGGTGGGCTGTGTTCTTGCACAGCTGGGCAACAATTCTCTCATCCGCAGAGCTGGCTTTCCTCACAGTCGCTCTGGGTCTTTGAGTTAACTTCGAGTGTCTTTCTAAAAAAAATACCCTTGACAAGCATGCTTGAAAGTTATGTCTGCGTAATGTGATGTGAATGTAACTTTGATCCGTTTGGTTTAAATTAAAATCACTGTTAATTATCTCTCCAAATGACAGAAAGCTTACTGAAAGCAAAGAAGGAAAAAAAAAGGAATAAAGTAAAGTTCTGTTTAAGGGAGAGTAAGATAACACTTTGGGGATGTGGGTTGTAATTTTCTGTCCATTAAAAAGTCATCTGTGGTTACCATGAGAAAGAATATAATATAAAAGTATTTAAAATAATACTTTTCTATGAAAGGTGCGATTCCTAGTTCTCCATACACATTAACTCACCTAGCCCTCTGCAGGCCCAAGAAGTAGTGCTGTCACTGGTGGGGAAACTGAGGCACAGGAAGGTTCAGCACATGGTGGGTGACTGGAGAGCTAGGAAGCCTGGCGCCAGGCTCGAGATTCTCCCCAGGAAACCACACCCCACAGGGGTACTGTGCACATCTGGAGCCACATCCAGGGTCACGGGTATGGGATGTGGAGTAGTGGCACCTGTGGGTGGAGATCAGAGATGCTGCTGATCCCCCTGCAATGCACAGGGCACCTTGCAGTGCACAGGACAGTCCCAGCAAGAACAAGCTGACCCCACTCCTCTGTAAGGAAGGCTGGGGAAGAAACCCTGGCTGAGGCATTATCTGCCAAAGTTAAGAACCTGGGGTATTTTATTTACTTAAAGGTCTCAGGATAGAAAAGCAACCTTTCTGAGTGAGCTTTACTCACTCACATTTATCTGCTATACATTTTTACACTTGCGTGCCCACCACAAGTCAGGCTCAGGCTGGGTGTCCAAGGGTCTGCTCGATGCAGGCCTGTATGCTGCTTACTCACCCCCACACCTGCTGTTAGTGGCCTTTGTTTCCAGCAGCGAGGGGCCCATAGATACAGTGTTCCCTGTGGGCTGAACCATAGGGCTACTCGTGTGGTGGGCTGTGCCATCAAAGTTTGTGTAATTGTGTTCCTGGACATTCGCATAGCGACAGTCACCTAATGACACATTTCTCAGAATGTCTCCCTGTCAGTAAGTGACTCACGGCTGTATTGTCAGCATCCACTCACAGGGGCCACTTTGTGGATTTTTTTTTTTTTCAAGATTTATTTATTTATTTATTTATTCACTGGGTACAGTCAGAAATGCGGGAGGATGAGAGAACTCACCAGGGCCAGAGCAGGGAACAGAACAGGCAGACTGACGAAATACACTGCTGAGGGGAGCAGCGGGCGTGGCAGGAGAGGTCTGCGCACCATGTGGAACCCTCGCCCAGTGGCCGGGGATCGAACCGCACTTCAAAGGCTGTGAGCGGCTTTGCCGTCCAGTGCTCAACCACTGCGCCTCCGGGGAGGCCCACTTTGTGGATTCTTGAGGGCAGAAGTTGTTGGAACTCAGCTTCCACCTCATTTCATCTGCGCCTGTAGGTTGAAAACTACTTAGCTTCAGGGAAGGAAAATGTAATCCCTTCTGGGAACTTTCTTGAAGAAGTGCAAGGCATACAGAGTAGAGCAGGAGGGTGACTGTCTGCAAGCAGAAGCAGGGGTGTGGAAAGGTGCAGGCTGCCCTTACCAGGGAGTCAGCGCCCTCAGCATGTGGGAATGCATGGGCTTGTATGGGTTTCTCTTAGTCATGAGTCACTGAGAGTTAATGTCCCTTTGGCTCAGTGGTTTAGCTGTTCACTAGTCAAGGTCACAGGTTTGTGTCTACCTTTCTACTTGTGTTGTGAAGTGAATGTAGGTGTTGTAAGGTGAATGAGATAGGGCACTCGGGTCTCCTGCTTCCCCAGTACAGTGACCCTGCACTGGCCACTGATTGCTTGCAAACAGACCAGAAGCCAGCAGTTGAAAAGACTGTTGCTTGTGACTTGCAAGATTTTATGAGCAATTCATGCCCCCTGGACTTACTCTCTTTAAAATAACGGATAGGGAAGGGATATTCAGATTTTACAATCTAGATGTGAATGATTAAAAATTATTCTCTATTTTGGCTTGAATAACTGAACTTTTATGAAATCCAGATGACCTCTGAAAATGTCTACCTGTTTGTTTCCCTGGTGAAGTAATTTACTGTTTTATTCTGTCACGTGTTGACAGGTGTGCCTAGTCTGTTATTGGCTCACTATTTTCATTATAACTTTGTGTGCTCTTCTGAGATAAAAAGCTAATGTTGGCAGAGAAATCAGATTAGTTTATATATTTGGCTTGAAATAAGAGTACTTTTGAGGGTTTTCTATATGTTAGGAAGTGTGTTAAATCTTTTATAAACAGTACCCTAACCACATTTCCAAGGTCTCACCAGGATTATTTCCAATTGAAAGATGAGGAAATCGAGGCTCTGAAGTTTGTAAGTTGATCAGCGGTACAAAACTGGTGATCTAGGCGCCTATCTTATTATATTTTTGCTTACTTTTGAAAGCAAGTAGCAATCAATGCTTAAAAAGCACATTGAGGGCCTCCTTGGTGGCCTACGGGTTAAGTTTCAGTGCTATCACTTCTATGGCGCTATCACTTTTATGAAATTCAATCCCTGGCCAGGGAGCCATCCCACATATGGCACAGCAGACCTTTCCTGTCCCGCCCACTGCTCCCCTTAGCAGTGTATTTTAGTAAAATCTGCCTGTTCTGCTCCCCACTCTGTCTCTGGTGAATCCTTTCAACCCCCCCCACCCCATCCGGTACCTCAAGCCTGGACCCCACAGTTCTTCTATGCAAAAATAAACAAAATTAAAAGAAAAAAAACACACTGAGATATATTTGTGGAAAGAAACATTTAAGAAGAGTAATATTATAGCTCAATGATATTGAATACCAGCATTATAAATTAGACTGACATTTGTTAATCTCTCCTGGAATAAAACTAAAACAAGCATAAGGAAAAATACCTCTCTAGTTATCTTGACTGAGTCAGTAAGCTTCCTAAACTTGATCCACAGCTGGGGTCCTTTTCCCCTCCCACTGTCCTCCTCCTGCTGATGGAGGCGAGCTTCTGGGAGATTCCACAGATTGCTTCTCCTTTCATCCTGGGGAATGTGACCTCAAGCAAGTGGTAACATTTATGTTCTGAGTATTTTTTCCTGAATGTTTAACTTTGCCAATCTTGAAAGAGTATCATTTGAAAGAGGAAACATTTAATGCCATTCATTCATTTTTAGAAGTGTAACTTTTACTAATTATTACTTTGTGTTTTTTTTTTTTTTTTAAACAGTCACACTGAGGAAAAGACCCAGTGGGAACATCCGAAAACTGGAAAAAGAAAACGAATAGCAGGAGGTTTGTATGCTGTTGTCACATAACAAAGACCTTTGCACTTAAAGTATTAACTGCGACAGTGTCACGGGTGGCTGGGAGCAGGTAGAGCTGTTCTTCTGGGAAGACTATAATGGGAAGCTATCAAGGAACTGGAGTTGTACTCGGAGGCGCTCATGGGATTAGCAGAAAGTGACATGGTCTTTGGGAAGAGTGATGAGGATGGTTTCTTACTGGCCTTAGGAAAAAGGACTATTGAAATAGCAGGGGCCTATGACTCTGTTTTAGGTTTTCCTGTGGTCGTTCTGTTTGTGAAATTGTTGGTTCTACCAGGGAATGCAATATACGAGTGGGTGATGAATTCCATTAAGCCGTGACTTGTAGATGCTTCTGAGTGAGTGTGTGATTGACAGAGTAGACCTGCACATAAGAAGCTCCCTGTCCTCAAGAGGTTTAGGATCTAGTTGTGAAGACAACACAGATGTGTGGGAAAAAGAGAAACTACTCTATCATATTGTGGAAGAGGCACCACAAGCCATCATGTAGATGATCTTGGTGCCTGCTCTACCTATAGATGTGTCCTCTGAGGCATTCAAGGGAGGCATTCATTGGAGCCATCAGTGTGGTTCTTGGTGAAAGCAGGAAATAGATGGAACCTTTAGGAAGGAGCAGGAAGAAGCAGGTTTTTTTCCAAGCAAGAGGCAGAAGAAATGCGGAGTAGGGTTGGGACGAGGGCCTCTGCACTTGGCATAGTGGGGTGATGTGACTGGAGGGCAGCAACACGATGGCTGTGGGATGGGGGGATACACAGTATGAGCTGTCAGGGCATAGTGCCTTCCTGACCTAGGGACTTCAGCCCGTGCCACCCCTGCCTCATGTGAACCTGCCTATCTCTCTTGTGTTTCAGATTTACCATATGGATGGGAACAAGAAACTGATGAGAACGGACAAGTATTTTTTGTCGAGTAAGTATGTACATGGAAACTCTTCTTGATCATTTCTTTCTGCCTTTTAACAGGAATTTTTATTATAAAAGTAGTATGCATTGACTACTGAAAAATATGATGTAGTGTATAACTGTAATATTACCAGCAGAAATAACTACTTTTTTAATTAATATTTTATTTTATATAATTCTTACATCATTTTTCATTTTTCCACAATGTATGCAGTTTCATTTTGGTTATATTCCCCATACAATTGCACACCCCTTAATTTTGACCCTAATCCTTCCTCTCCCTGCCCACCCGCCCTGTAGTGTGTCTCTGGTTTATAGCTGCTTGTTGATTTTGATTTTTACTTTGTATTAATTAGTCTTTTTCCCAGTCCCTTATTTAGGTTTTCTAAATTCCTGCTATGAGTGAGTCCATCCGGTATTTTTCTTTTTCTTTCTGGCTTATTTTGCTGAGCATGATCCCTTCTAGCTCCATCCATGTTGCTGCAAACTGCATGTGTTTATCTTTTTTGATTGTTGAGTAATACAGGAATAACTACTTTTAAATTCCAGCCTGTTTTCTGTACACATCCCTTCTTTAAAAAGTACAGAATGTACTGTGTAAACTGCAGAGTAACCTGTTTTTTCCACATATTATCTGGTGAGCATTTTTTTCTCATGTCTTTGCATTTTCCACGAAATGTTGTTTAATAACTGTGGAGTATTTTGTAGAGATAGACTATAATTTATGAAATGTCCTATTTGGCACCTGTAATTATAAATAACACTTTGAGCATTCTTGTTTGTATAACTCTCTTTAGAATAAACTCCAATAATTAACAACCACGGTAGCCACCTTTGTGGCACGTAGCAGGAGCCAGGCATGTCTGGACTCACCTTACACCCATGCGTTGGCTGAGGTGCCACCTGGGTGGGTCCCCTCGCCTTTCCCAGCCTATTAGATGGAGCACTGATGAATTGTTTAGCCTCAGCTCTCCAGGGGGAAAGCTCTGATTTGTTTCTATGGTGAGAATACTTTCTCGTAGCCTGCCCTCTCTTTCAAGCTTCTAGGATTAAGTCACTGGGGAGTTGGAAGAGATGCACCCTTGGGGCTCTTGCATTCTCATGCAGGCTGGCCCCACTCCCCCTGTCAACTGTGCATGGCAGTGAAGTGCAGCTGCTCACTTGTGTGAAACTGACAGTGTCGTAGTGTAGCACTTCTTCAATAAAAAAGATCCTCTTCCTGCTGCATTGTATGTAGTTAAAGTGAAAGTTGGACTGTCTTTGGGTCTTAGTATTTATGTGGTGATGAGTATAGATTTTAAGTTATATATAATTTTACACATATACCTATTGCAATGCATTTTAAATGATAAACTGTCATCTCTCTCCTGAGAAATAGTTTTTAAGATAGTTTGAGGTCTTTATCTCAAATCCCAAGAAAACATTTGAAATGCAAAATTAAATTCTGTTACATAAGGAGTAACATTAATCTGTATGGCCTGAGATATTTTATTATTATTTCTACAGGATTCAGCTCACCTTCAAATAAAAATTAGAGTGATTGTAGGAGGTATGAGCACAGTTCTGAAAGAAAAATCATTAGGATTTTGGTAGTTAGCCTTTTATTGAGAAGACTTTTATCATTTGAGTTTTCTGCTTCTCTACCAGTCTTCTTATGCCCTTGCACAGAGCTGAGAGACTGGGTTGAAATCTCCTGGATACAGTGACTGTCAGATCTTATAGCCACATTTACACAATTAACAGAAAAGAAAAAGAACCAGCATTTCTCTTTTTTTGAGTGCCAAAGAAATAAGACACTGTTTATTGTATGTGCCAGCATATTTTTAGGAAATTCTGGAGGAAATGATTCCATGACTCTCTCTCCAGGCAGGAATGTAATCCTTCTAGAGGCCAAAAGATGTAATAAGTCGACCCCCCATTCTTTCAAGGGTTAAGAGTAAACCTTTTTAGTATTTGAAAAATGGGGCTTGCCTAGTCTAAACAATGAGTTCATCTTATATTTTTAAATTTCTATGTTCCGTGTGGGTTAATTGCTTTCTCCTTTTCCTTGTAGCCATATAAATAAAAGAACTACCTATTTGGACCCAAGATTGGCATTTACTGTGGATGATAACCCTACAAAGCCCACCACCAGACAGAGATACGACGGCAGCACCACCGCCATGGAAATACTCCAGGGCCGGGATTTCTCTGGCAAAGTGGTGGTAGTTACTGGAGCTAATTCAGGAATAGGTAGGCCATTAACTCACAGTTGCTATTATTACTATTATTTTTTTTTTGTCACTGCTATAATGAAATCCACTTAAATCTAACTATAATAAAATTTTATATAGTGATTGTTTAATTTAAAAGAGTATTTACAGCCTTTGCTGCTATCGTTTCATTAAAATACTGGCCTCTTTAAGTCCCAGTGTTATGGAAGGCTGCATATGGGCCGACCTTGAATTTCCTGAAAGCTGAACACTCAGCAAAAGGTTGTGGCTATTTTGGTATTCAAGGATTAGAAACAACAGGCTCTGTCTAAGAGTTTCTGACCTGGGCTGTGTGGTGTACGGACATATTCCAATTACCTAGGTTATTCAAGCTAAAATTGATTGGTGATGGAATATTGGGAGCAACAGCACACCATGACTTTGGAACAAAGGATACTGCAGGTTTCCCTTGGTCCCTGAGAATATCATTTTCCTTTGGGAACAGGATCTTATTTCTTTTTAAAGTTGGAATATTATCCTTGTCTTAACTTCTAAATTAACCCTCTTTATCGCCAGTGTTTACTGACAGGCGGTGGCCGCCGTGAGGTAGGTGGCTCTGGAGGGGGCTCTTCCTCTGGCATCAAGGTGTGTTAAAAGTAGCAGCAAAGCTGTTCTTTGTGCAGTAGTTCTCCAAATGATTCTCTTTTTTATTTTGGTCCATTTATGTCAATATCTGCATCAGTAAGAACCAACTGCTTTGAGTAAGGATATACACCTTCAGAATAATTTATAGCTGTAGAAAATGGGGTTGCCTGTGGTGGTTTGTCCAGCTCTCTCTGTTTCTTTGAACCCTCACTGCCCACATGACGCACCCTTTCCCCCGTGGGCAGTCTCTTTGATAAGCTGTTTCTTCCTTTCATAAGCTGTGCATCAGCTCCACTCTCCTGTCTCTCTTTCTTAGTTTTTAGTGACCACTTCTTGAACCTCCAGAATTACTCCCCAGCATAATTAGGCCAGCAAAGCAGGAGAACATGTTCTTGGAGGACCTGTTATTGTATGGGGCAGACTCTTAAAATCTAAGAAGCAAATGGATTTTTTTTTTTTTGTAAATTAAAAAGCATTTATTTAAAATCAGCCATCAGACCTCATCCTGGGCCTCTGTTATATTCAGTTCTGTTTTCTGAATGTCTGCAACAGGTTAAACTTCAAGTAGCTGTGTCTGATGTCAAAATGGCTGTCTTGTCAGTCATCTATGAAACAGTATGCTGGGTTGATTATACTGACCACTTTGATGTGAGGGTGTGGACCAACACAGTGTAGATAATTCAGGAAAAATAAAGACTTAAGGATTTTAAGTAAAATATCTCTATTTATTTAGTGCTCAGTTAACCAGAAAATTAACTAGAAGACCTCTTTCCCTTAATCTTCCGGCTAGATTGTTTTTCCTTTAATGGGAAGATATGTGACTGCTGATCATTTTCTGTGGAAGTGTTCAAACCTTGCTGTGTCTGACACGAGCTACCAGTCCTCTGGATATGACTGGTGCTGTGTCAAAAATTTGCAGTGACAGACTGGGGATATTTTATGTTGGGACTAGTGGAGTTGGTTCAGAATACACACAGAGCTGTGTTTAGTTGGATATGTAACCATGACTGAAAAGGAGGAGATTCTGAAGCATTGAGAATAATACCTTGTTGATCAGAATGGAGCGCACATTTCTTTGGGGAAAGCCCCAGACCCTCTGCTTCTTCAGGCGCCTGCATCCCCTCCTGGACTTGTCCTTCCCCGTCCTATTCCATTTTGTGGACTTTGTAAGTAGGTATCGGGTATCTGGTTGGATGTTGTGGCAGACTGTAAAGCTGATGATGCAAGGGATGTTGGCAAAGGTCTCAGGGAGAGCAGCTCTTATGCAGATGGCCCCAATACTCCCCCGGCCCTGCTTTCCTCCAAAATTGCCTTTAGCACCACCACCTTACCTCTGTTCCCTTATCCACTCTTGAGAAGCATAGGCCAGGTGAGTGCTGAATAGTCCTATTCTTAGTTTTTTGAAATAATATCCTATGGAAAATTCCAGGCAGTCAAATCCTTGCAAATAACTTTGACTCTGCAGCTGTGGTATCAGGAAGAGAGAAAAGTGGTTAAGATAGGCTTGTCATCAGGACTCAGTTAGCTTTTATATCCGGCCTGGCTGCCTTAGAAAGTGTCCTTGCTCAAGTAGGCTGTGGCTTCTAGATAAAGTCCCTCCTTCTATTCAATTGTGAAACATGCCAATTTAGAAATTGCTCTCACCTCCTTATTTCTGCCCATTTCAAATGCAGTGACTGAATGTGGAACGAATCGGGCATCTTCATTCCCAGTACTTCTGGACTCTCATGAGTTGTCTTCTCTCACAGCATTCCTGGTGTGGGCATTCCCTCCAGGGTGCCTATTTTCTTTGTAGTCATGGTGTAGTCTCTAGCCTGCCGAATGTCTGTTCTCTTTGAAGCAGAGTGGGTTGGAATAAAACATATCAGTATTTATTTCAGAACATGATGGCTTCAAAACTATAAACATAGGTCACTGAATGTGCTATAGAAGACTGGTTTATAAATCTGGAATTTCCAGCGATTTTTTAAAAATTCCCCACAAGGTACTGCTTTCTTGGACAGGCCTTTGGTTTGACGCAGTCTGTTGTGGATGGAGGTGGTGCTGAGCCTCCGGGTTGTTCTAGAGCACTGCCCCTCTGAAGTGAGCTCCAAGCAGATTTTGTCTTGTACTCTCCCTCCCTATGCGTGAGCCAGAGAGAGATTTTGAATTTTCCTTATTTGATGTTACTGAAACAGGTGGAGGGAGTCCTACTTCATTTAGCTGAAAAAGATCAGGATGCAGTCACCATAATTTTCTGAGTCTGGTGACCACACCTGAGGGGAGAAATCCTATATTGTAAAAAAATGTACAGGGATGTTAAGAAAAAAAAAAAAGATCAGGGTGATTCTGAAAGGTAGAGGAAAGATTCTGAGAAGTATTCTGTCAGAATAAAGCATTGTGTCTTATGAAATCATTGTTTCTGCTCTTGACATTTGTTGCCAGGTAGCACTGTCACCTAGTTTAGGGGCAAGCTGTCGATCTTGGGCTAACTCTGACCTGCTGCATGACTTTGTGAGTCAGGTTTTACAGGAATACAGCCACGGCCATTTCCCCACATTCCCATTTAGTCTGTGGCTGTTTCTGCCATACCAGTAGAGTCGAGTCGAGTCATTGCTGCCTAGACCATATACCTACAAATCCTGAAATCTTTCCTGTCTAGTCCTCTATGCCTCTACTGCTAACCCCTGCAGTAGATGATTTAATCCCTTTCAAAGTGAGATCACCCCACCATTCTCTAAATTAGTCACCATTCACATCTAATTTAGACAAATTGGAGCCCCATGAAGGTTGTGGGCACACATCATACAGTTTCACCAGTGCCTGCTCCCCTTGCCTCACATCTATCCCGACAGCCCCTTGATAGGCAGCTGCAGAGCTTAGGATGTTACATCCTCAGAAACTAACACTCTTCTCTCCTTGACCTTTGTTTGACCAGCGTTCTGAATCTGAAGAACTTTGTAGATTGAGAGCGGTAACTTGTGGACCTCTCTCTGTGGAAATCAGCTCCTCAGTATCCAGGGGGAAGTCATCTGTCCATCCAAAGCTTCTACTAACAGCCCGAGAGACCTGGAACCCACAGTCCTGACCGCTAACCAGTAGACACAAGGGAGGAGTTTGTTTCTGTTGGTGCTGAGCAGTAAGGGGCAGGCATTTTTACAGACATGTTGGGAGTTAGTGACTCGATGGCGCTGATTTGGTTAAAAAAAAAAAAAGAAAAAAGAATGGAAATAGCTTCAACCTGGTGATCATTAATTACAAACCGTACTGGAAGTCTGGGGAAAGGGAGTTCTTTCGGCTAGGCAATTTCCCACTGTGGAAGATCCCCTATTCGCATTTCCAGACTCAGCCTGATGCTTGAGTTAATTTGGCTCCCCGTGAGAAGCGTTCAGTACGAAATGTGATGCTGCCATGTACTCATGGAGGCAGGTTGCTTCTCAGGCTCCTTCCTAATTGCCTGATGCCTCCATGTGGGGTGCTGCCTCCTCGGGTCACTTCTCCTTGTAGGGGGATGTTTGTCGGAACTGAGGCAGATTGTTGCAGTGAGCAGGAGGATTTATCATGTGGGGTTGAAGGAGTGAGTCCAGGTGTTATTACACATCCACTTTAAAACTATTAAGTATGAGCAAATTAGATATTTTTGGTCTTTATTCATTGGTAATAATGATAAAACCCCCTTCTTCTCATCTTAAACAACTAGTGGTTAAAATCTGATTTTAAAATCCTTTCCAGAGTTTAGACAGGATGAGAAGTTGCTTTCTAATTTTGAACCTTCATAACACTGGACTGCCTTAATGTGATTTTTAAATCCAGAATAATCTGGTCTGCTTTTGATTTTTGAGCCAGACAACCCATTAACAAGAAAAAAAACTAAGTTTTCCTTGAACAGCTGAAGTGGGCCACCTTAGTAAATACCAGTGAAAATGTAGTTTAGGACTGGCACTTCAATTTTTGGTTGATATTTATGCTATATAATCACCTCCCTAGAGTTTATTATGGAGATTCTAATGTATGTGTACACACACACAATACACACTCTTAAATATTAGCATTTATAAATTTTAAGATACAAAAAATACATGTTCAAGTTGCCTAAATCACCCCTATATTTGTCCCCCTTGAATCAAAATGAAAGTATCTGGTTTCCATGTAGGAATCCCAAAATGTTGTTACTATAGTGTAATTTTGAAATTCATTGCTACAGCTTAAGAAACCCATATTTATAAGTTTGGGATGTTCTTTCTAAATTATATGTTGAAAGTACAGAATGAAGTGTAGTTGCCATATCCTTTTACCCTATAAAGCATCACCATGATGAAAGATTATCTGGTATAAATTCTATCATTTCTGTAATAATACAAGAAAATTGCTTTTCTTCATCTAGCAGTATATTCATTCATTCATTCTTAAGATTTT